CTCGACCCGGTCGTCGGCGCCAGCTGCGCGGGGACCCGGGTAGGCGCCGACCTGCCCGCGGTGCCCTCTTGTCTCCGGCCAGGGCGGGCAGTTCAGGGGCGCCGGGGTAACACCCGAGAACTTCCCGGGGAGAGGGTGCGCGGGGGATTTCCACTGTCCTCCCCGCGGCCCCAGCAGCGGGGCGGTGTGCGGAGGGCGCTCGGGGTTATCCCAGGCGCAGGGGCGGGGTGGCCCCTGCTTCCCTCCACCCCCTGCACACCTCCAGACGTCCCAGGTTCCTCGTCCTTCCCCCTCTCGGGTGAGAGGCGGGTGGGCGGCTTTCGTGGGCGGAGGACGTCAGGGTGCCGGGCTCCCCGTTCTAGGTCATGCCTCCTGCTCTCTGCCTTGGCCTGCGTGGGCCGAGGTGTTCCTCCTGTAGGCGACAGCCAGTACGGTGGCCGGTGGCCTTCGCTCTTAATATCCAGAGTCTGTTTTAAGGTAAATCAGTGGGAGTTTTTGGAAGCAACATTTTCTATTTGTTGAATCTCTTTTGGGTGTTTTCTCAAGAAGGAAGTGGAAGAAGAATTTTTTCTTTTTCTCTCTTCCTCCATTTGCATTCTTTGTGAGGTCTGTGAGCCTGGTGCTTTTTGTCCCGCATTGGTCTTGTTCGAGGATGGAGATTCCCAGGCGAGGAGTCTCTGTCTTTTGGCTTACATTAGGCAAATTCACTAACCTTTTAAAGGGAAAGTTAATGTTTGCCTGTAGTCATCCCCGAAAAATAGCATATATTAACTATGTGAATGAATGCTCTTGAGCTTGTAACTTAGTTGCATATGGTAGATATCTGGTATTTTTGGATGAAACTGGTGTTTCTTTTTTAAATTAGGAGAGGAAGTACATGGATTGGTTTTAGTTAAAATGGCATAGCTGAGACAGCCTTTGGTACTGAGTTTTAGATATAATTTGTACAAGGTTCTTTATTTTCTGAATTCTTCCTTTTGAGGGAAATTATTGCTCCCTTCATCCATCTTCCGAATTGCTTTCCTAGTTAAATGAAGGTTCTTCTCAGTGTTAGCCTTAAAGAAATTACTTAAGTGTCACCTTTGGTAAAGTGAGCTCAGTTTAAGATTAAGAATTTCACTCTGACCCTTTGGCCTCTGGAACAAATTCAAATATAACTCTCTCCCAACCCCCTTCTCTTCCAGATTATTTAAAAGAAGAATGAACTGTAATTCTTGAAGATAACCTGAGCAGTTTTCATTATGTGTAATTTTTGACTGCAGAATTTTAAATGAAGCCACAGGCACTTACTGGTGTGAAGATTTACACAGCATTTTTTTATTGCAGACCAACACACCATCATTTTTAGAGGAGATACTCCCTCTTGGTGTCTTTGGTGGCAAAAATTAAATTTGGTTGCATCATTTTGACTTGTGTTTGAATCTAGATTTTCTAACACAAGTAATGGCATAAACTTTCCACGTTTTGCCTAAAAAGGAAAAACAAATAATCCAAACCATTGCATTGAACATGGGCATTTTAAATTAAGAAATTGGTAACTTTATTTTAACACGCATACCTGAAGAATTCAAGAAAACAAAGGCTTCTTCAGAGGTGGCTTTTAAAATCACAGTATTTTTAGAGGCAAAACAAGACATTTTACAGGATTTGCAGTGAAATTATACTACGACATAAACAGGACCCACACCAAGTTGTAGTTATTTATGATCTCCTTTTGGAAATTTACATTTTGTAAAAAGAAGTTAACATAAGTATTTGTACACATCACTTTTCTCTTTTCAAATAAGCAACTAAATAAAAATGCAATTCTCAGACTTGATTATTTAATACAGTAGTGCAGCAATGGAAAACCTACAGACGAATTTTTCCTTGGTTCAGGGTTCAAGTAAAAAAATGAAGGGGGTGGGAGATGATGGCAGCCCTCCAGCAAAGAAAATGATGATCGACGTCCATACAAATGGAAAACTGTTAAACAAGTTGCCAGCGGTGAAGAAGGAACACGTGGATGACTATGGAGAAGCACCAGTGGAAATTGCTGGAGAACACGTCAAGCGAACATGTTCTTCTGTACCTGAACCATTAAACTTAAATCCGAGTTTGAAACATACATTGGCACAATTCCATTTAAGTAGTCAGAGCTCTCTGGGTGGACCAGCAGCATTTTCTGCACGGTATTCGCAAGAAAGCATGTCTCCTACTGTATTTCTGCCTCTTCCATCTCCTCAGGTTCTTCCTGGCCCACTGCTCATTCCTTCTGATAGTTCTACAGAACTCACCCAGACGGTGTTGGAAGGGGAGTCTATTTCCTGTTTTCAAGTTGGTGGAGAAAAGAGACTGTGTTTACCCCAAGTCTTAAATTCTGTTCTCCGAGAATTTTCACTACAGCAAATAAATACAGTGTGTGATGAATTATACATATACTGTTCAAGGTGTACTTCAGACCAGCTTCATATCTTAAAGGTCCTGGGAATACTTCCATTCAATGCTCCGTCTTGTGGGCTGATCACATTAACTGATGCTCAAAGACTATGTAATGCTTTGCTGAGGCCACGGACTTTTCCTCAAAATGGAAGCATACTTCCTGCAAAAAACTCATTGGCCCAGTTAAAGGAAACTGGCAGTGCCTTTGAAGTGGAACATGAATGCTTGGGCAAATGTCAGGGTCTCTTTGCACCCCAGTTTTATGTCCAGCCTGATGCTCCATGTATTCAGTGTCTAGAGTGCTGTGGAATGTTTGCACCCCAGACATTTGTAATGCATTCTCACAGGTCGCCTGACAAAAGAACTTGCCATTGGGGCTTTGAATCAGCCAAATGGCATTGCTATCTTCATGTGAACCAAAAATACTTAGGGACACCTGAAGAAAAGAAACTAAAGATCATGTTAGAAGAGATGAAGGAGAAATTTAGCATGAGGAATGCGAAGAGAACTCAATCTAAGGCAAGTATTTTTTAAAATAGTAATTTTAAGTATTGGGAGTGGTTTATTTGGAAACAAAATTCTGTATTTACAGTGTCACATAACCTATATGTTAAGAAATTTAGTGCTGGGACCAGCAGTTGGCGTAATGGCTATGTCTCTGGACTCCCATGGCGGTTCAAGTCCTGGACCTGGTGGCTTTGGCTTAAACTCATGCTGGGTGCGTATTCGTGCATGCCCAGGATCCTGAGAGGAGAATGGAGGAGAAGGGATTGCAGTGTGGCCATCCCACCCTGGGGGGTGATTTCTTGTATTCTGTCTCTCTGTCTGTCTTTCAGGCGAGCATGCTCGCCCTATAGCAAAAACCTCCTCCCCCCACCAAAAAAAAAGAAATTCAGTGCTGATTGGAGTGACAAAAAATACTCATCAATGTATTGAGAATTTGTTTGTATTGCAGTTTTTTGTCTGTAAAGTGCTTCCCTGTATGCTTTTCATCGGACCTTCCAAAGAACTTTGTGAGGGAAGTAGCATTATTTCCATTTTACAGATAGGACGTGGCTCAGAGAAGCCAAGTGGCTTTCCCAGAATTTTGTGACTAGAGAGTGGAGGGGTTGGGGCTTCTTTGTTCTGTCTCCTCATTTCACACGTCCTGCTGCTGACTACTAAATCTGTTGTTTTCCTAGAACTTACGATAGTTTACACTTCGGTGTTATCTCCACTTGCAAACGGTGTAATGGCTAGCCACAACAGTTCTGGTGGTGGGATCTAAACAGCACTTCTCAAAGATACACCTGTGATTTCTGACATTGCTTAGCTTGAATTTTCAAGCTTGATCACAATGGGAAACTAATGGAAAAGAAAAATATTGTGATTCTAGGAACCCTTTTTTTTTTATTTTGAGAGGATTTTTAGAAATTACGACTTAGAGCTTGCCTAAAGAAGAGTATTTTAGATGAACAAAATGGTAACCCAAAACTATTAGCAGGGCCAGCAGGTGGCACAGTGGCTAAGGCACTGGACTTCCACATGGCCCATTGCAATTTGAGTCCCAGACCAGGTGGTTTTAAACACCTAGTGTATGTGGGCATATCCGAAATCCTGAGCAGAGAATGGAGGAAAAGGGATTGTGGCATGAATGATTTCTCACTTTCTCTTTTTCTCTCTAGTGAACACATGTGCCTTATAGCAAAAACGTCTTTTTAAAAAAAAAAAAAAAAGATTTATTTAATTTCACTTGTTGTTATTTTTTAATTTGACCAGAGAGAGAGGAGAGAAAGGGAAAGGGAGAAAGCAAGCTGCCAGATCTGGACTTGAACCATGGTTGGCCATGTGGGAATCCAGTGCCTCCAGCTACCACGCCACCCACCAGCCTGCAAAAATTTCTTTAAAAAAAGATTGGCAAAGAGATCTTAAACATAACTATCCTTTTCACTGCATTATCCGGTAGGCTAAAATTTCCACACACACATACACCCTCCATTTTTTTTTGTTTTTTTTTAAGGTTTTTGTCTTAGGGCACATGTAGTACGGAGTTGGCCAGTTGCAATTCAGTACCTTAACCACCAAGCCTTCTGCTGGTCCCTAAAGTTGTTGTTCTAACTAAGGGTTTGAATGCCAGGGTAATGGACAAAATTTGGGTTATTAAATATTCTATTTGTTGATCTGATTATTTTGTATGTTTTACTACTTGATTAAACTTGATATATAATAGCAATACCTAACACTTAGCACTTGTTTCAAATGTGGCAAGCATTTCTCTTGAGCAATTTTACTTATATAGTTTTAATCAATTCTTAGAACAAAAGATTTGCCGTGTTTCGTTTAATAACTTTTACTTTTTTTTTTAAAGAATTATTTTATTTAACTTTATTCATTTTTAAATTTTTTAATTTGACCAAAGAGGGACAGAGAGTGTGTGTGTGTGTGTGTGTGTGTGTGTGTGTGTGTGTGTGGGCACATGTGCTCAAGAGGGAGAGACAGAGAGAGAGAGAGAGAGAGAGAAGACAAGCCACCAGGTCCGGGATTCAAACCACGGTTGGCCATGTGGGAGTCCAGCACCCTTAACCACCATGCCACTGGGCAGCCCCTATTACTTTTTCCATGGTTACATTTATTGCCAGAGAGTGAGAGAGGTTAAATCAGAGGTCATGGTGCAGCTCAGTTTTTTCCTTCCATTTCTCCTCTCTTTCAGGGTGCTCCATGCACGTACACATGCGCCCAGCATATTTTTTAAAGGCTTAAAACTACAGTAGGCCATTAGGGATCCAGCTCCCAGTGCACAGGACTTAACTACTGCTCTGTAGACCATACCTCTTCTGTTCGTTTTGGTTCCTTGAAATACCTCTGCCTTTTCTATTTTACAGAAAACAAACAAACAAGCAAACAAAACCCAAAAATAACAACAAAAAACGAATGAAGCATATTAAGCAGCTCACTGATGTTATAGTAGAGTTCGCGCTTGGTCTGGAGCCTGCGATTTGGTGCCTTTACTATGGCACCTTGATGGTTTGAAGGGAAATGAAGTTAAACTAGTTTCAAGACATTGGCTTGCTTCTTTTTTTAAAAATTAATTTTATTTATTTATCTTAATTTGACCAGAGAGAGACAGAATCAAAAGAGAGTGAGAGAGATGGAAAGTGAGAAAGCAAGCCACCAGGTCCGAGACTTGAACCATGGTTGGCCGTGTGGGAGTCCAGCACCCTTAGCCACCACGCTACCTGCCGGCCCCAGACATTGGCTTGCTTCTGAAGCCCAATGATGATAATAATTTTACAGTCTCATTTAAAGTAGTTTACTGTTTGTTCCTTCCAAAAGGTCAGCACATCAGAATTCCTTGCCCATGACTACTAGACAAGGTTATACTCTACAAGTATAGTAATGAACTGATTTTAGAGCAGGGTCTGCTTCAGGCCAGTACCCCAGGCATAGAAGGTGCTCACAGCAGGGCTTGCCTGGTGCTGGAATTCACGCTCAGAGGTCCTGTATTTTTGACACATGAATATTTTGCTATTTATGATACCTTGCCCCAAACTAATGGGGACCCGGAGACCTCTGTCCTCACATGTGGGTAGATGGCTATATTATTTGCCATATATTTTTGCTCCAATCTTTGTTACTCTGAAATATGCATTTTGGAGGTAAACTACTTTGCTTAATTTTCCTATACTGTGTGTATGTGAAAAACATCTGAGAATCATGATGAAGTGGTTTTTTTTTTTGTTTTAGCGAGAGATTTTTTTCCTTTAGGGTGCATATGCTCATTGTAGAGACAGAGTGAGTCAGAGAGACAGAAAGTGAAAAATCCCTTCCCAACCAGGGAGGATGGCCACTCTGCAATTCCTTCTCCATTTTCAAAAGCTCTGGGTCCAGGACCCAAACTGCCATTGGCCATGTGGAAGTCAAGTAACATAACTATTATGCCATCTGCTGGTCCCTTCCCTGGACCTGGTGGCTGGCTTTCTCACTTTTTCTCACTCACTCACTCTATTCTCTGGTCAAATTAAAATAAGTAAATAAATGGATAAATGAAGTTAAATAATTTTTTTTTTTTGAGAGGTTTTTGCTATAGGGTGCATACGCTCACCAGAAAGACAGAGAGACTGAGAGACAGAAAGCAAGAAATCACCCCCCAGGGAGGATGTCCATGTCTCAATCCCTTCTCCTCCATTCTTCTCTTGGGATTTTGGGCACGCATGCACATGCACCCAGCATGAGTTTAAGCCACTGGGTCTAGGCCTCGCACCATGGTCGACTACGTGGGAGTCCAGCGACATAGCCATTATGCTAACTGCTGGTCCCAATAAAATAATTCTTAAAAAAAAAAAAGAGAAGGTAGTAGATTAAGTTATTTAATTGAAACTAAATGTGCCATAGTTTGGTTAACAGTGGCACCATCTGGGGAGCAGCAGATGGCCTGATGGTTACCTTGCTAGACTCTCACGTAGTTGACCACTGTTCAAGTCCCAGACCTGCTTAAACTTACGCCGGTATGCATGCGGCATGTGTGCGTGCCCAATCCTGAGAGGAGAATGGAGGAGAAGGGATTGTGGTGTGGCTCACCCCCAGCGGGGGTGATTTCTTGCTTTCTGTCTCTCTGGTGAGCTCATGTTTCCTATAGCAAAAATCTCTCTTAAAAAAATAAAAGAATAAGTAAGTGATGAAGAATTGGGTTAATTTCAATCCCTTTTGAATTCTGGGAGCAGCAAGTGGTTGTGGAAGTTGAACCTTGTTATGTAAAGGGTAGGACGAGTTTGGGAATGGTGTCAGCAATGATTGAAGTGTATCTTGTCCACATACAGAACTTGGTCTGCCTGGGAGTTCATATTACAGAAAATTGAAGGATTTTATTAGTATATAAAAAGCAAAATAATATATAATTAAACCATACATTGTTTTTAAGGTGGGTTTCCTTCAGTTACTAAGTATGGTATTTTAGCACCATGTCAATCAGAAAGAGGATGAGTAGGAAAGATACAATTAGTTTAAAGTTTATTTTCATGATTTCTCTACTTAGCACTGAGTCATAGAAATAGATATGTAAAGACTACATGGAGACCACTTAGAACAGGAGTTCATTTTTTATTCTCCAAATCTGGAAAGCGGTAGATACCTACTAAAGGTTTGGACAAGGCAGTGAAAGGTCTTGGGCCAGCCAGTGGCACGGTGGGTAAGGTGGCCGGATCTCATGTGGTTGATTTTATGGTTTGAGTCCCAGACCTAGTAGCTTGAAAAAAAATACTGGTTCCATGTGCATGCATGTCCCAACTCCCAAAATGGGGTAGAAATGGAGAAGGGATTGTGGCGTGACCATCCCCCATCGGGGTTGTGTCGTTGTCTCCCCCCCCCACCCCCCACCCCTCGGAAAGCACCTGCACCTCCTGGCAAAATTAAAAAAAAAAGCAAAGTCTTATTCCAGTAATTCGTAAGGAAAAAGGTGGGTTTAATTTTAAAACAAAGCAACATTTTGTTTTTATGTGTGATACTGAATTTATTTTAAGATTTCAAAAACATTAGAAGTACAT